AATAATAATAATAATAATAATTTATTGTGAAAAAACAGAAAATTTTCACAAATGGAAACAGAGTTCGCCATAGGCGATCTTCCACTCTTCCAGTAAAGACTGTGACATAATATGCTTAAATAAAGACAACATTCTTTGACATGAGACGCATAACATGATCTAATTATCATAAATATACATGCTTGAAAACACTAAAAAATAATGAAAAAAATAAAGAACAAAGAAAAAAAGAATTGCACATTTCGTACCTATTTAAACATTATTAACAATGGTATTCTAAAAAATTAGCTTTTATTTCAAAAATGATCAAAACACATGTCAAATATTATTTTTTTGAAATTATCCAAAGATAAACTTAGGTGTTCTTGAATTTGATTTAAGGTTGAAACAGCAATGTATGTGAAACTGCCTCGAAATTTTTTTGTTCTGTATTTGGGTATTGTGAGACTATCAATTCGCAAGTTCACTGCATGCCTACTTGACCGCTTTTCTAAGGTTTCCAGTAAGTATCCAGGAGAACCACTTTTACACAATTTGTAAAGAAAGATGCATAGCAAATAGTGAATTCGTCCTTTCACATTTAATAAATGGATTCTTTCAAGATAAGGGCTTACATGGTCTCTAGAAGGTATACCTAAAGCGAATCTAAAACACGCATTTTGCAAGCGTTGTAATTTGTGTTTATATTGTTGCGTAAGAGAATTGTAATACACCAAACTACAATATTCAAATATGGGAAAAATAAGAGTTTGTATCAACTTCAGTTTTGTATCCACTGGTAGATTTTTCAAGTGATAAATTGCTTTTAATTTAGAGAAGCCCAACCCATATGCTCTATCGACATGCTTTTGGAAAGATAGGTGTTCGTCTAAGATGAGCCCTAGGTTTTTCGTGTGTGTTACCCATTTAATTGCCGCACCGTTTAGTTTTAAAATATGACAGTTTAAATTAATTTCATTTGTCCTCATTCTATTTGATATGCAGAGGGCAACAGTTTTGTCTGGGTTCAGACATAATCCATTCCTATTGCACCAAAGATTTATATTGGCTAGGTCATCATTGATTTTAGTTATGACATGAGTCATATGAGTTATGTTGCATGCTGCATATAATTGTATGTCGTCAGCGTACATATGTGACTTGCAGTACTTTAGAGAAGCCGGTAGATCTCTAGTATATATTGAAAATAATATGGGGCCCAAAATGCTACCTTGGGGGACGCCTTTATATGTCTTTCCAAATTTAGACATCTCATTCCCAAACATTACTGCTTGACTTCGTCCTTGGAGGTAATTGTGCATCCATGTTATTGATGAATTGTTAAAGCCTATGTAGTGTAACATTGATGTAAACAACTCTGGCACTACTTGATCAAAGGCTTTACTTTGATCTAAAAATACTATAACAGTTACCTCAGAATTATCTAGTGCCCTATGTACATCGTTTGTAACCTTAAGTAGAGCCGTTTGTGTACTATGTTTCTTCCTAAACCCAGATTGCAGAGTAGGTAATAAATTGTTTTGCTCTAGATATCGATTTACCTGCTCAGCTACAAATTTTTCCACAATCTTTGACATTGTAGGAAGTATACTGAGGGGTCTTAATTGGGATAATTGTGTGGCATTAGTAACCTTTGGTAGGGGTCGGACCATTGCTGTTTTCCATACGCTTGGAACAATTCCGTTCATAAGAGACGTATTAATTATATTAATTAGCACATCCATACAGTATGGCAATATCAGATTCAACATTTTTAAGGATATACCATCCACTCCAACAGCTTGAGACTTAATCGTCCCAAGAATACGATGTACATCAACAGCAGTGATGTTAGTAAAGCTTAGAGTAATATTATTGTTAAATTTATTTGACGAGTAAAATTTGATAAGATTTGGATCGACAGTGGATGTTCCAGGGACGTTGATAAAATATTCATTAATATCGTCCAGTGTTATATCTTCTGGTATATTTAATTGGTGCACTTGTTTGTTATTTCGTAAACCTAGTTTTCTAA